CGGCGAGCTGGTTCTGCTGCAGCACGGCAATTCACTACTACACGAAAATCGTTTACTTCAACTTCTGCACTGTCATGCCCATGAACAGAAAAACATAAGTTGATGATCGCAATCGCGAGAGTACTATGCAAGTAAACAAATTTCGCGGGAGTGAAGCAAATAAAGCGATCAGAGTACACTGATGGTTTAATAACGAGTTGTGGGAGTAGGGAATTAGAGAAAGGAAGCAAGTTAGCATCGACATTATCTTTGTTACCAGTAACAGAACTGAGACAAAGGAATAAAAAAGAAATTAAAGTGAAATAATGGAACAGAAAAGACTAGGCTAAGCGCCACACATAAGAAATCAAATTAGGATGCATTCTGTGTTTCATCCCTGAGTTGTAAACGAAGACCGAACTTTCCGTGCGGGCAGAAACGGGAATCATCAACATAACCTCCAGAAATTCAGAAAACGAACGTGAAATGGTTGGACTGAATCCGCATGAGATGAGCAAATCAGGAGAGCCTCCCCTCACGCTGCACTCATTCCGAAACAAGTGCAAAACAGTAATGCTTGAAAATGGCCGTAAAACGAAAGGAAGAGATAACAAATTGTTCTATAATAAGCTTCCTTTTGTTCCACAATTCAGCTTTCGTTTCATCGTAGCCTTTACCGCCGTTACTGGTGCAGATGGCAACATCTACACGCTAATGTGATTCAGGATTCACTAAAAGGTGTTTAGCCCTATCCTTCTCCTTTCTTTTCCAGGACAAGTTTTCCCGATTTAGCCAATCTTCCATAGAGAAACACGCATTCTTATTCTTTAAGTCGTTCCTGTGGCCTAAACTGCTTAATTAGTAATAATTCTTCTAAAGTTCTCAGTAAAAGCAGATTCATCATTGCTAAACTTTCCTTGAAAATCGGAGTTGTACTGTAGAGAGAGCAGGCTAAGAGTGACCAAATGATCCTCATTTTAATATGCATAGAAAAAAAGCCGAGTAAAATTAACAAAAAGAGGGCATCTTTCGGCACAAGTTGCCCTTCTTCCTTTTATCTCCCCTCTTCCTGCCCCTTTCCCCTCCTCCCCAGTCCTGCACCCCTTTCTTTATCCACTCCACACGTCTGACACCATCTAAACAAATTTGGAGTGCAGCACCGCACTCCACTAGAGATCTTTTTTATTGAACGAGGCACTCTTCGAAAAGCGGCGACCGTGCCTTAGTGGGTAGTGAAAGTATTGCGACTGAAAAGGGGCATCGATGCGAGATGGCCACTGGTCATTTTCCTCGTCTTCAGCTCCCATGCATCTGGTGGTGATTGTACTACAGCAATTAACATGCATACCATAGGTCTTTTCGAATACTACTTTCCCTCCTTTCCTCTGTCTCTCTTTATTCTTGAGCTCACTCTCTTTTCCTCTGTACGGTCAGTGGTCACAGGTGTATGAAGACAGGAAAAAGAGAAAGTTCTCTGCTGGGAATTTCTCTGTTCTCAACTGCAAAGTCCCATATATTCTTCATTCAAATTTGAAGAGGGGTCTTAACACGAATTTGCATGCCGTAAACGGACTGAAACAACTTGGTCGCGTGTCGAGCTGACGTGAGCGCATTCTTTGTTCACCGCGTGATATAGACAATCTTACGCGGAAGTATGAGGAGAGCGAAGAAACTCGCTTGAATAAGTGAAGATTTCGAATGATGGAGAATGGAAACAGCAAATAGCATGAATGAAGAATGTTCAATGGGCACAAGTCTTAGCCATGAATTTGCCCAAACAATGCTGCACCAAAGTCTGTCACGAACATTTAATAAGACATAGCCGTGCTAAGCTTACGTGAATATCCCTCACACTCAAGAAATTCGCCTCCTATCCCAAATTATTTACATTTATTTTACATTATCTTTTACACCCATATCAACACCACAGCCGTAGTACTGATGGGTTCCAGCTGCGGTAGAGAATAGGAATTTATACGACTTGATGGACCGAACATTTCTATTCATATTATTATTTCTTAATATATTTTTTAATATAATTTTTTATAATTTTTTGATATCATCACTAATATCTTCATTAATATCTTTATGTCATCACCAGTGTCTTTATTATCAATGTCTTTATTACTACACAAAATCGTCTGAGCAATTAGCATGAGACACCCGTCTTGTTATTCTTGGTACCTGAACTGCGTGTACGCGCACTTGCCTTGCATTTGTAAGTTAATCGACCCGTATTAGAAAACATAAATTTTTTCACTTACCGATGAAGCAGGTTTTTTGGCTGTTGGAGGTGGCGTTTTTGGATCTATTTTCTGCGATATCACTGATTCCAAATCAAATGAAGAAGTCTTTTTATCTAAAACTGGCGG